TTTACTTAGTAGAATGGGCTCCAGCTCTATCCAGGATAATACAAGTGGTGCTAGATCATCATTGTTTTTTGTGGCTGAGTAGGGATTGTGTTAAATCTATAGATTAATTTTGAAAAAAAAAGTTGACATTTTATATTATCAAGTTTCCTCATTCATAAATATAGCTCTCCTCTGCCTTTATTTAAATTTTTAAATATCTCATTAAAATTTTATACTGCACTGTTCTTATCATTATCAGTATTTTATGATGTTTTTAGTGTATGTGTTTTTCAGCATTATGCATTCTAATGTATATTTCTGGCATATGAAAACCCATCAAATTGATGTTTTTTAGTGTTATATTATTTATAGTTTTATTTATAGTTTTTATGTCCTCTTGCATTTATCCACTTTGCTAAACTTGTACTACTTTTAAGTGTTCTGTGATTTTTTTGTATTATATTAACCAATTAGTCATCGCTGGTAAACATCTTGTTTTTATTATTTTATAGATTGCAATTTTATTTGTTTTGTTATTTTATATTGTATATCATTCATTTTCCTGAACTATTATCAATTCTTAAAATTTTCCCATTTATACTTAAAAAAATTTCTAGGTAGAGAAAAAAGTTGATTGCGAACAATAATATTTTCCTTTTTTGCAAATATTGATATCTCTTAATTTTTGTTATGTGTCTCAATGAAATGGTTGGAAATTTGTAATCAATGTAAAATAATTATGATGACAAATATCTTTGACTTTTTAGTTGAATTTAACGGGTAATTCAGCTCCAGTTTACCTTAAATATGTCTTTTGTTTTTAAAGTTACATGCCTTTTATTAGATGTGATAAAATAGTCTTTTGTTTGGAGTTACTTTTTGTTTTGGAAATCTTGGATATAGAATTTATTATTCTAGATCCCTTGGTTTATCATTCACTGACCATCTTAGAGCTCAGCCTTATTTCTCTCCTATTTCCTGATCACAGACCTTAGTCCCTATAAAAGTGAAGAGCCTGAGAGCAGGAAGGTATTGAAGGTAAAGAATCAAACAAGGAAAGCTGACCATGGAAACTAAAGATCAGACATGTAATTAAATTCAGAGATCCGGACAGAATTACGGGACATGGACCATGTCTATTCCCTCACCTCTCAACATTCAGTCATTGGTTGGTTACTTACTACTTCAGGAAGGGCTGTGAAGAGGCTCTCAGGTTGGCAATGTCTTCTGTAGCTGCTTCTGCTTTCCTGGTCACAGCTGCCTATGTTTAGCCTTTTGTTGTTCAGAACAAATCCCCGTCATTGCTAGACATCCCTGGAGTCTGTGGTTTTAGTATTAATTAGATCTCTGAGATGACTGGTCCTGGTGTGCTGCTCTCTAGGTCCTCCCTACTGTATTCCAAGCATCCTTGAGGAACTAATGTTTTTAAAATTGCAATGGGAATAGGACCCAAGTGCTCTGTGGGGTTAGCCAAGTACTTTCTGGAAGTATACCAATTCAGCCCTAATACCATGGGCAGCACACCAAATAGACAACTTTTCACCCCAGGCTCCTCAGGCATTAATTCACCCCGTCTGATCAATAGTGCCCCTTTTTACAGGAAGGTTCTAAAGTCTCCCCGTGTCAAATATATCTTTACTCCATATCCCTTCCAGAGATTGCTCCTGTCTGCTTCCTACTTCATAAACTTTATGAGTGACTGATTTATTTTGCTTACTCTTTTCTACCTCCTGAATAATTTGTATCTCACTGTAGTTTACCTTTGTCTCCACATCACACAAATTGCTCTTGTATTGACCTTAAATTGCCAAAAATAATAGATATATTTTAGAATGTAATCTTACTAGAATCCTCTCCAGTATTTGCCCATGTTCTTTCTTCTAGGACCACTTACCTCTCTTGTCATTCATGACATCACATTTTTAGTGTTAATTAAACTGGAACAAAAGAGTGATAAAATATCTGCCCATTTTTAATAAACATTTATAGTTTTCTTTTTCTTATTCTGAAAATTACATATGAAAAGCACATAAATGTATAAAAATTAAAGTAAATTCAGGTAAACATTATTTTTAAAGGATGTTTTCTATTAGTAGTAATATAATAAATTATTTTATGAATAATTTTTTTGCTTGCATTTAGACTATTTCTTTTAGATTCTTTTTAAACAGAATTACTGGGTAAGAGAATCTATACGTTTATAAACATTTTAATAAATTTTGCCAAATTGGTTTTTGGTGTGTTTGGGCCAATTTACAGTCCCACCAGCTGTGTTTAAGACTGTCAGTCTTGGCGTGGCATCAATAGTTAGAGACATTTCACTTTTCTATTCTTACTTATTTTCTAGGTAATAGGAAATTTGCTTGTAATTTTAATATGCATATTTTGATTCATGAGGCTGACAGTTTTCATGATTTTATTGGCCATTTTTTTTCCTAGTGAGATTACAGATTACCACCCAAGTCTATTGAGAGCTAAAACCTCTGTCATTTCCTAATACCTTAATGGTTTCCTAAAGCTGGAGTTACTTGGACACTTTTTCACGCAGCACAAGCAGTCTCTGAAAGCCTAGTCTGAGGTCGTGCATCCTGAGTGCATAGACCATGGGGTTGAGCGCAGGGGGGATGACATTATGTAATACATTAAGGAGTATGGGGATAAGGGGAATATTTTTTTCTGCAAGGTGTGTGACAGACACCACAATGATACCTGTGTAGAAGAAGAGTATGAGGATGAGGTGGGAGCTACAGGTGCTCAGAGCCTTGGACGTTGCTTCTGCTGAGTTCAGCCTCAGCACAGAGTGAAGGATTAGAGCATAGGAAGAAAATACCAGAACCATATCACTCCCAACCAGGACCCATGCTAGCATCAGTTGGTAAAATTTGTTCACGGTGATGTCATCACAAGCTAGACTGATAACCCCCAAGTTAGAGCAGAGGCAGTGGTCAATTTCATTCCCAGAGCAGTAGTTTCTCTGGGCAGCCAATACAGGCACTGGGATGGTCAACAGGCCATTCCTGAGCATCATGAATCCTGTGGCTTTGAGCACAAAAGCTTGAGTGACTATGGAAGGATATTGAAGGGGGTGACAGATGGCTATGTATCTGTCCACCGCCATGCAGAGGAAGATACCAGACTCCATGCAGAAGAAGCAGTGGATGGCATAGATCTGAGCAAAACATTCAGGGAGGCTGATGGCCTTGGCGTCAAACCAGAAGATGGCCAGGATCTTGGGCATGATGGTGGTGGCAAGGCCAATGTCCACCACTGCCAATATGCTCAGAAAGTGGTACATGGGCTCATGTAGCATGGGCTCACGTTGAATGGTTACCATGATAAGAATGTTGGCGCCAAGAGCTAAGAGATAGAGCAGAGTCAGTGGCAGGGAGAGCCAGTGCTGCCACTCATGAATGCCCGGGAGCCCCGTCAGGATGAAATGGGAAATCTGGAGGCTGGAACTGTTGGTAACACCGGTGGAGGTATCCATTGCACAAGTGCCCCAGTCTCAGTGTCTGTCTATAAAACTGAAACAGAAGGAGATTGTGTTTAAAAGTCAGCTGAGTGTCCTGATAAGACCCCTTCAACAGTGATCCAGTTCCTTTTATTAATAAATGACCCTTAACTTTTTTTGGCTTCTGGAAATATTCCACAGAGGAGCAACAAAGAAAGCCAAAATAATTTCCAAACAGAAAAGTCAGAATAACTATTTGTTATCACCACTTGTATGTTTAATAAGCATGTCCAAATATATCAACAATAATCTTACCACTAACTGATAATAACTATTAATATTTGATTTACTTCCATTTTTGTTTTATCTTTAAACAATTTACATGATTATAGGGAGATAATTTTATATCTTGCCTTTGTCTTTTAGCAAGATATTCTAAAGCATAATATCAAAAATTATTCCATGGATTAATAAATGAGCCAAAGAATTTCCAATATCATTAAAAATATGTAATCTTAATTTTAGTGGCTGCTTTAAATTTTTGTATTTGGCTATTCCATAATTTACTGACCAATATTCTTCTTGTAAGATTATTTCCTTTGAGTAGCATCTCAAAAGTGATACCAAAGTGATATACACAAAGGGAATAACCATGTTAAAATTTTATTTTATTTTATTTTTATTTTTATTTTTTTTATTTTTTATTTTTTTGAGACAGAGTCTCACTGTGTTGCCCGGGCTAGAGTGCCGTGGCGTCATCTTAGCTCACAGCAACCTCAAACTCCTGGGCTCAAGCGATCCTCCTGCCTCAGCCTCCCGAGTAGCTGGGACTACAGGCATGCGCCACCATGCCCGGCTAGTTTTTTTTACATATTTTTAGTTGTCAAATTAATTTCTTTCTATTTTTAGTAGGAGACGGGGTCTCGCTCTTGCTCAGGCTGGTTTCAAACTCCTGAGCTCAAATAATCCGCCCGCCTCAGCCTCCCAGAGAGCTAGGATTACAGGTGTGAGCCACCGTGCCCGGCCTTTATTTTTATTTTGAGACAAGGTCTTGCTCTGTTGCCTGGGCTAGAGTGCAGTGGCGTCATTATAGCTCACTGCAACCTCAAACTCCTGGGCTCAAGCGATCCTCTTGCCTCAGCCTTCCGATTAGCTGGGACTATAGGCATGTGCCACCATGCCCAGCTAATTTTTCTATATTTTGTAAAGACGGGGTCTTGCTCTTGCTCAGTCTGGTCTTGAACTCCTGGCCTCAAGCAATCCTCCTGCTTCAGCCTCCCGAAGTGCTAAGATTACAGACGTGAGCCACCGTACCCTGCCAAAATTTTATTTTAGGATATAATATGTACACATGATAAAAATTGAAATAAAATGAAAAATATAAACAATAAAAAGTAAAACTCCCATGCTTGGGTCTCCCAAATGTCTTTCCTTTTCATCAGAGGCAGCCAGTAATACCAGTTTCTTGGTAATCTTTCCAGAGATAGTTTGTGCATGGATAAGTGTATATATATATTAATGATATGTATATTTTAAATAAGAGACGAAAACAAATGTCAGCATATTAATCATACCCTTATTTTCCTTTCCTGCTTTTCCTTTTCTTTTTTAACTTAGTATTTTAGACACTGTTCCATATCACCATATAGATAAGCCTCATTGTTTTTAAGTTGCATCATTTTCTACCACCTGGATGTCCCATAATTTATGAGAATTTTTTTATTTTTTTAATTGAGATACAATAGTTGTGCATATTTTTGGGATATGTGGTATAGTTTGATACATGTCTACAATATGTAGTGATCAATCAGAGTGATTGGGATATCCATCACCTCAAACATTTATCTTCTTTATATTGGGTACATTACAATTCTTTTCTTCTAGCTAATTTGAGATACACAATAAATTATTGTTAACAATAATTTTTCTATTGTGCTGTCGAACTAGAACTTATTCTTTCTATCTAACTGTATTTTTGTACCCATTAACAAACTTCTCTTCAGCTTCCCCTTCTCCCTTCCCTTCCCAGGTTTTGGGAACAACCATTCTACTCTCCACCGCCACGAGATCCAAATTTTAGCTCCCACATATGAGGGAGAACATGCAATATTTGTCCTTCTGTGCCTGGCTCATTTCACTTACCATAATGCCCTACAGTTCTATCCATGTTGCTGCAAATGACAGGATTTCATTCTTAGGGCTGAATAATATTCTGTTGTGTATATATACCACATTTTCTTTATTCATTCATCCACTGATGAATAGTTAGGTTGATTGCACATGTTGGCTGTTGTGAGTAGTGCTTTGATAAACGGGAGTGCAGAGATCTCGATATACCGATCTTTTTTCTTTTGTAAATATATCCAGCAGTGGGATTGCTGGATCATATGGTAGTTCTATTTTTAGTTTTTGGATGAACCTCCATAGTGTTTTTCTATAATGGCTGCACTACTTTACATTCCCGCCAACAGTGTACAAGTGTTCCTCTTTCTCCTCATCCTTTGTTATTTTTTGTCTTTTTGATAAAAGCTATTTTGACTGGGGTGAAACGATATTTCTTGTGGTTTTGATTTGCATTTCACTGATGATTAGTGATGGTCAGCATTTTTTCATACACTTGTTGGACATTTATATGTTTTCTTTTGTGAGATGTCTGTTCAGGTCATTTGCCCACTTTTAAATCAGAATATTTGTTTTTTTGCTATTGAGTTCCTTATATATTCTGGTTATTGATCCCTTGTTGCATGGATAGTTTGCAAATATTTTCTCCCATTCTGTAGATCGTCTCACTTTGTTAATTGTTTTCTTTGCTGTGTAGAAGCTTTTTAGCTTGATGTAATCCTAATGAGAACTTCTGATGGACATTTAATCTGTTTCCAGTATTTTACTGCTATGAAAAATGATGCAATAAGTATAGTTGTTCTTATATCTTTATGTGTATACGTAAGTTTATCCATAGAATAATTTTCAAGAACTGAATTGCTGGGTCAAATGGAAAAAATGATTTTGACTGATATTGCCAAACTATCTTATAAGGAGGTTATTCTGGCCCTGCATGAGAGTATGAGCATTTTGAATGCTCTTGCTACATACTAAAATATTCCTTCATGGGCACATTGTAGTACTTTATGCATCCATAATTTCTTCAAGAGTGTCTATTTCATCATATCCTTGCCCAAATTGGGAATT